TGACGCAATCATGAGGTGACTACGATTTGTTGGAGTATGGTTGAGGTTTCAGGGTAAAAGATCGACAACAGCACCGGTTGAAATATAAGCAAGATCATACACACATTAGGGAATTTACTGTACAGAGGAAATGAGTGAGATGTTTTCATGGTACAGCCCGTAAAACAAGGCAAGTTTGTGCTTACTGTGACTGGTTTTCATCAACCTCACTGTGATGCGAACCAGTGAAGTGGAATGTAAAACAAATTAGTATTTAGTACAGTACTCTCCCATCGGACTGACAGAGATCATTGGTCAGAGTCTCGACTTGATCACTGTGAATCACTTAGTGCTGTTGCATTGCTCTCTCTGGCTCGGGGACTAAGAGCTAGATTCGTAAATCGCCGCGCCTGATGCATGTGTACTGTTGTGTTGTGGAGATAAACCAAGCGCGAAACGACGCTGATTTCCGGGGAAAACGATACGGAAACAACCAAACAAACAAGCTTATTGCAAAACACCTCACCACCACCTCACAAGTAAAACACTTCGCCACAGAGTAACACTTTTGTTCAAGTTATTACGATCTGTTTACTACTAGGATTTGCTCGTAGCAATCTCGCATATTAAAGCGTGTTTTTCCTCACATACCCGATCTGTATATCTACATCCCTTGAATTATGGAAAGTAATTAACAGTTCGAATGGAGGACCTGTCTAATAGCTTCTCCGGTTATCCCACATTCTCGCCTGCACCAGCTTTTACTTATGCACTTGTGCGACCAGTTGCATCCACTGAAATGCTCAGCCGACGAATCATTTCCGATTGTCGATTTTGAACGAGAGAGAGAGCGCGCGCGGCGGTGTTTACTCGCCCCGGATGATCAGTTCGAGCGAATGATGGAAAGGCCTATCATTTATCTAGCATTCAGGTTCAGAATGTTTCCCTAAATTTATCACAATCTTGAACTTTAGGGCTGAAAGAAACGAGATGAGCTGCCCATGAAAAGCTTGTGCTAGATCGTGGACCATGCATCAAATGCTTGCCTTCTACCTGTAAAGTCCCGGGTAGGCGATCCTCAGTTGGGCCGATGGAATCGGTCACTGCTGGTGAGACCGATCGCAGATCGGTCTTTCCTCCAAATAACAACATCCTAATCTTTGAACGCAGAATCAATAAACCGGGTCTAGCTTGAGTGTTCGTTTTATCTTTCCATGTAAAGTGTATTATGGGGTTTACACCTCCTACCAAATGGGTATTTTGGGATGAGTCGTCACTGAGTATAAGAATATATGGTAATACCATTGTAAATCAGTCAGTGTTCAATTTGTTGAAAAGAAGAGGATCTTATTCACCAAATATGAGTATATTATAATTTTTGAAAATTACTAATTTACATCACGATGATGAAATTAATGGGGTATGAATATATCGCATGGAACTCCATCGCCAGTCTGATATTCTCTCTCTGTGACCGCTAAATGACAATGGGTTGTTAGAAATTCGGAGTCATCGATTTACAAGGCAAGCAAGAAGTAGGTACCGATCGATAAAACTCTGGGCTGATCAGTAGGCGTAAAGTAGAGGAGAAGACCGATGTCGTGCGGCCCAATGAGAGTAGGGTACTATCGGTTGCACGACTTAAAATGATGTGCTTTTTAATCGTCCGGCAGCACATTATAAAGGTATATCTAAGAGTGAATCGGCAGGGCAATACTGGTCGTTACGCATACTGGCTCATAAACAGGAATCACGATATCCGTTCTGTGCTTCTAGTGAAATGGCACCTGATAAGTCACACTACTTATTATAGACGCATTTTATTATTATTATTAACTTGGTTTCGACCTGTAGTTTGCAAGGAAGACCTCATTTTGTCTAATTGATAAATTCATATTTCAGCCTCCTCACCGGATAAAAGGACTTTGAGAAGCGATCACGTGTTTGTAGTATAATGAATAAATTTGTTCACTAGGGATATTGCTAGTGCTATGGTAAACTACCATTCGTGTAACTCGCGCATATTGCTCCGACCTTTTGCAACGGCATGGAGTAGTACAATCCAGTACGATCATCAAATCGACCGAATTGTAGGCAGCTCATTTGATACCCCAGAACATAACTAAAGTAACGATAATAATCTGGGCTAATCCTGATTTGAAAAAGAACAAACCAGCACAATCACTGTACTCACCGGATATTTCATCAGAGAGGCAGGAATTTTTCGCTCGCAGTTGCACACTGATCTCATTTGTTAAACCGAATAAGTTGGTCGACTGGCGCCATTTCCGTCGGGCACGAATGTGTCGTGAATGGTTATACATAGTCGCACACCGTTGTCCGATAAATCTGTACAATGATCGAATCAATTTGTTGCGTATGTCCGGTTTAGGTATGGTCGAATTGCGTAATTGTCGAACGGCGGCTTGTAGATGCAAACGGTGTAGCAGATTGCGTCGATAGGTCGCATCTAACACGCGCATTGCATGATGCAATTGGGGCAACAGATCGCGACAATTTCGGGAACGAGAAGAAGAAGCGAAGCAACCGTGTGCACGCGATAAACGTGGTCGCATTATGAAAAAAAAATAGGTCAGACGCTACGTGTGGGTCCAGAATGTGTTCAGTCGAGTGTGTGTGAGACTAATAATCCACGTTCAAGTTTTGACAGTGATAACCAAACCAGTTGACCACTGATATCATATGCTTGTTTTATCCGGAGCGCAAAATCCCATTCGCCGAACCGAATATTTAGTGTGGTGTGAGGGCTGCCGATGACTGATGCTACCCAGACGTGAGAGGGATGCAGTTGGGGAATGAACAGCCACAACCACAGCAGCACCAACAACACATCGACTTGCCATGCGCCTTGGACTGAATATGAACACCGTAGAAGGAGGGGGGACAAAGTGAACACTTGTCAGCCGAGTAGGGGTTTCCATTATTTCTCGAATGGACGGAATACGTGGTCCATTCCTGTGCTTTCGTTT